AATAAATAAACCAGTTATTTGTTTCGCATCTAATTCATAGACAACAGTTTGGCAACACTTAAAAGTATGTTATATTCAAAATCAAGTATTAATATTTGATGCTTGATTGAAAATTTGGAATGCAGTTAGACCCCTTATAATGATTTATGATATTTAATGGCCAAACAAACAAATCAAATATCATAGGCCTTTGATATTGGTATAACTAAACCATCCTAGTGTATATTGCTATTGCTAACCAACTTTATTCGTGACCACTAATTAAGTCTAAAATAAATTTTTTTTAGTTTGAAAAAATCTTTTTATTTTAATAAAAAATAGATAAAATATGTGTTTAATCAAATAAATTAAAAATTATATACACAAATAAATATTAGAAAGAGATGTTGATATAAATTAAAGACTAAATCGAAAAGTTAAGAGATAAATATAAATTTAAATATTTGATTTTGTGATGTTGAGAGCTATTCATATTGTTTTTATTTTGTCAATAATTTTTTTAATAAAATTAATAATTTAAATTCTATTGATATTTATCATAATAAAATTTAATTATAAAATATATAAAAAATAAAAAAATCCATAATGAGCCAAATCAACATGGACCAAATAAGTGGGCCTAGTTGGTCTACGTGCCTAGCCCATTCAAAGAAAAAATCATTCATGTAGGCTTGTAAGACACATACTTCACGTTATATATATATATATATATATAATGGGTCAAATTAACATAGACCATGATTAAACAATTTATAAATATTTTATACTGTAATATTTAAATTGAAATATATTTTTTATAAAAGGATAATAATTACATTTAGAAACTAGTTATTAAAAGGTTAAGTCAAATCACTTATAATTTTTTTAATATTTAGAAAATCATAATAGGTTGTTAGATATTATACTTGATTTTAAATTATAAGTAAAAGAGTTGTTAAATTCATAATAAATGAAATTATTTAATTTATTTAATCTTAATTTATTTAAGATTGTGACTTATATTTTGGTTAATTTGTTAGGAAACCTGATGGGTTACACACATAAAAACTATTAGTTAGAAATTAAAATAAGATAATTAATCAAGTGCGACATGATAGTAAATAGATTTTAAAAATTAAGGACTAGAATGTAATTAATGCAAAGAATTACAATTTTAGATGTAGAAACAATCATGCAAAAAATTACAATTTTAGATGTAGAAACAATCAAGTAAGGACTTTATTGAATGAATTTCTAAAATCAACCTAAAATAATACATGTGATATTATTTAAGGGAAAATTTGACATTTTACCATTTATTGGATTTTTAGATTTTTCTATAAATATAATATTATGCCTTTTATTTTTTAAGAGAATGCAAGTAGAGTACAATATAGAAATACTTAAAATACAAAAGAAAAGAGTTAGTGCTGGAAGTTATAACAATCTCTATCTTCTAAAAAGATTTAAGAGATTTTTTATTGGTGGTTCATGTAAATTACTGTTAAAAACTAAATATTTGAACAATTTATAATTTGCGATAACCTAACCTTAAAGCAAATACTCAAAGCCAAAAAAAATATATAATCTTCAGATAATCTTTATATAGACCATAAACAACTTTAAATCAATCTAATAAAATTCATGGAATTCCAAAAAAAAATTTAAATTTATTGTTTTTGTTGTGTGTGTATGTTTTAGAAAACTTAACAAAATAATGACACAAAAGATATGATAGAAGAATACAGTGATGATGATGATAATAATAATAATAAATACAAAAGATACGATAGAAGAATATAGTGATGGTGATAATAATAATAATAATGATGATGATAAAAAAGGTATAATAATAATAATAATGATTTGAAATTATAAGATGATATTTAAAGTTTATAATTTTTTTAATATATATATATATTTTGAAGGAACAAGGAATTTGGACAATCATTAATTAAGGCATCAATATCGATTGAAAATCTAAAATACCTACTGAGGTTCACAATTCCAACTCAAAACGTTATCAAGTAGAAATTTGGACAAGGTATGTATATGAAGTCTCTAATCAAGCTTGTGGTTAGGTTCTGAAAAGATAGGTTCTGTCTATTCCTTCGAGTTCTGGTAAACCCATGCATCATCCAACACGAAATTAAATGCAGATTTTTATTTTATTTATTATTATTCTGAATTCGAATTTGATGGAAATTAATTGCGTGCTTGTGTTGGTTAATCAATCCATCCCCAGACAAATAGAAGAACCACCGCCGAACATGTCCCAGAAGTTGGCGGGTGTTAGCTAGGAAATGCCAGCAAACACCCAACCCCCCCTCCCCCCGGCAAGTCATGGCAGGGGCCTCTCCTCTGGTGGTGGTGGAGAGTGACTCACGCGTTGCCACCTAGAAAGTGGGCCCTACAGTCACAACTGACACGCACAGTCTGCATGTCTAGCTTTTAGTGCAGGGTTATCGTGAGATTAGATTACAATTTCAGAATTATAAAAAAACAAAAGGGTTAGCTGTAATTAATTAAGCTCTTTATCGATATTAGTAAACACAAGAAGACAGTGAGGGACCGTATACGGAAGAGGGCCATACCATACGGCTTTGTCACGGCCGGATCGCACCGTCTGTGTTCATGGGACCCTCCTTTTGCTCCGACTCCAACACCCAAAAACCATGCACTTCTCATTCTCTCTCTTACTGCTTCTGTTTCTGTTTCAAATTAACTAGGTAGCTGAGACGGGTTAAACTTTTTTTAATATTAAAAAAATTAACTGTAAATAATTTGAGATAATTCTAAAATATAGTTTAGGATACGAGAGTAAAAAAACTTGCCAAAAACACGAAAGGATAATATAAAATGAGATAAGAATAACTCAAGTTAGTTCATGCTAACTAAATAAAAAAATAAAAAACTTTAAAAATACAATGTCAAAGAAAAAAATCCAAATCAATCTATGGTAATAAAATGAATTAATAACTTGTAATATGAGATGTGGATAAATAAAAAAAAAATTTCAAAAAAATGATCTAATTTAAAAAACTAAGTTCAATAAAAAAATTCTTAAAAACCTTAAATTAATTTGGGTTAGCTTTACCAATATGTTTTTGGAATAACTAAATAGCTAGAAAAGTGAAAAAATAATAAAGTTCAAGGATTAATTATTTAATACAAAATGTTAAAATTAAAAAAGAAAAGGATTATAAAAGATCAAGAGAAAAACATTCGAATTAACTTGCATTAACTTGATTAACTTGCCATGCATAACATGAGATTAGAATAAAAAAAATTGACATCTTAAAAAAGAGCCTAACAAAAAATACCCAGGTTAAATAAAAAGTTAATAATGTCATTAAACTTGACTTAATAGGTAAACCCTAAAAACCCCCAATCTCTTTTTTTAATTAGCTTAAACTTTAAATTAAACTGTGCTGGAGTTGTCTTGATATGATCCAATCGACTTGACAGGTTTAAAAACAACCCAAACGATATGTACAAATATGGTTTGACTTTAAAAAATCAATTAGATTGACCTAAGGTCAATTCAGGCCCAACAATACTTGATCTTTTTTTAAAAAAAATTCATTAACACCCTTTTTATTATTTTTTTAAAATATTTATTTCACTTTTTTTAACAAAACAAATATTAATTAATGTTTTGATTTGTTTTTAATTTCACATTGTTCAAAGATATTATTGTAATTTATTTTTTATTTTTATATTTTATATAAACAAATTATAATTGCATGATGCATTAATGCAAATGAAAATTGTATCTTCTTAGCAATCAAAATTAACCACTAACATTAAAAAAAATATAAAACATAAAGGATATTTGGAGTTAAATATTTACATGTGTATCTATTTATTTTTATTGGGTAAATTAACTTTATGCTTTTAATATTTTAAGTAGTGTTAACAATTCTTCTTTTTATATATATATATATATATATTATTACTTTTCAATAAAACAAATCATGATATTCAAAAACACATTCATGATACATGCACCTTTTTTTTTACATTAAAAATTAGCTTATTTTAGAAATACTAGATAAATGACCTGCATTATATCATAGGGTAAACCTAAAACCTTTTTAAATAAAAAAAAATATTCATCCACCATTAACGTGTTTCAATGAAATAAGAAAAATTCATGATTTGAATTATAAATTTAATTAGATCTCAAATATTAGTTTAATTTAATTATATAATAAAAAAAGCAATAACAATAAATAAACTAAATTTAAAAAATATTTCATAAATGAACTTAAGCCAAGTGGACTTGGACTTAAGATACACATGCACGCTATCTTAATTCAATTCAAGCTATATTAACAAAAAATATATTATGAAACAAAGAATAGGTTACTGTGTTACTAAAATACAATAAAAATTATAAAAAAAGCAATTTAAAACTTGTATTGAAAAATGTAAGTGGGACTTGCTGTTTAATACAATGAGAAAAACTCTCAATGAAAATAAACTTGTTGGGCAAATTAAATGCTTGAGATGATGATATTAGGATAATTTTATAAAATTAAATAAATAAAAATTCTAATATAATCTAAATATAAAAGGATGAAATAAAAAAATTAATTAAAAAATAACTTTAGATAAATAAAAATATAAATAAATAAATATATGAATCAATTTAAATTAATTTGTTAAAATTATGATTTAGATTATAAAATCGAGATAATTTTATATAAAAAAACTAGAAAGTCTAATATTCATGTTGAATGATGGATTTTTTATAAAATAAAATTAATATAAACAAAGAATTTAAAAAAATGTTAGCCATGGTTATACTTTCAATTTCAATTTAATTTTAATTTTAATTTTAATGAAATCTGTTACTAGCAACGCACGGGCAATGGTAATAGACTTATCGAAAAGAAAATGAGATCTAATGCTTGCAGTAATTAGAAAGGAGAGGCCTTTCTGGTCACTTCGGAACTGCTTAAAGAAGTCGAAAACATGGCAAGCACAAGCACGGAATGGCATGGTGGATATTCAGCTAGAAAAGCAAGGATAAATTGAAAAAGAGATGGACAAAGGTCATTATCATGAAGACCCGGTTTGTCTCCTCAGAAGTGGATCTTCGCACGTTGTGATTGTCAAGCACCTTTCCTCCTCTTGCAGTCAGAGAGAGTGAGTGAAGCTTGTGTTTTCCTCTTTTTTACTTTCTTCAAGAATATTTTATTGTGTGAGACACAGAGAGAGAAAACCGCCAGCGCTTGGCATGCTTTTCACTGCTTTGCACACTAGAAACAACAACAATAACAGTGTTTACACCAACCCAACCGACTCCCTTTCTCTCTTCTTTAACCACACTCGGCTTCTCTCTAGAATTTGATTCCGGGTTTTGACTGTCTGCGGAGCCACCATTTTATGGCATGAAAAGATAAGAAAAACCATCCTTTTGAGCTTGTGTTTTACTCAAAACCGTGGTCTTTTTGTTTGATTTAAAGCTAGAGTTTTGAGATTTGCAAAAGGGTCAGTCTGAACATTTTTGCTAGGGAAAGAAGTGAGCTTTTTGGATTTCTTTTGTAGCTTGATTTTTTATATGAAAAAACTTACGTTTTTCTTGTTTCCGAATTTGGCTTTTAGTACTGTGATGCAAGTTAAATGGTTGATTAATCTTTTTGTGTTCTCGTTTTTTGGGTTGGTTGGAATTGTTTTCATCAATGTTTAAATGCGTGAGCACTGAATGTTTTGAAATGTAGTTGAATGAGAAACAGTTTCTGTGCATGCCAGTTCAGATGTTTTCCTTGTAGGGTCACATACAAATTGAGTTTCTAGTCTAAATTTAGAGGCGCCGTGGTTTCTACATTGAATTCCAGAGGCTTAAGGATTAAGCATCTGGTGATTTTGTTAAAATTTGGTTCAAATCCATGAAGAATCTTTACTGTTTTAAGCAAATCTATAACAATGGAAAATCAGAGAGGCGGCTTTCTCTTGGAGAATATAAGAGAGCGGTTTCTTGGTCCAAGTATTTGGTGTCATCTGGGGCAGAGATTAAAGGAGAGGGAGAGGGGGCATGGAGCGCAGATATGTCTCAGTTGTTTATTGGTAACAAATTTGCATCTGGGAGGCACAGTAGGATATATAGGGGGGTGTATAAGCAAAGAGATGTGGCAATTAAGCTTATAAGTCAGCCTGAAGAGGACGAGAACTTGGCTACTATGCTTGAGAACCACTTCACTTCGGAGGTGGCTTTGCTGTTTCGGTTAAGGCATCCTAATATCATCACTGTAAGCATCCGGTTTCTTTAACTGCATGTGTTCATGTCCTGTTCTTTATATTAACAACACATGGAGTTCCATTTTCTTTTTAATTTAATATTTGGATTTGTAAAGGAATATGTTGTCAATTACCTTAAATCTAATTTCTTAACCTGTCATTCGAACCAATTGTGATCTTATACATATTTTTACTTGTTAACAAAGGGTGGTGGAAATGGCTTGTAATTTTGCTGCAGAACAATGAAAGTGATTCCAACATGCAATGTTTCCTAGCTTGGTTTTGTGGAACCAATTTGGTAGAAATTCATTAAACTTTCAATATCAATTACATATTGCCCATGTGCATTATTTATTACTCTCTTTTCCTTCCGTTGATAAGGATTCGTCTAAAAATTCTAGCAGTAGCCTTGTAATATCATGCTTTACAAGATCGTGAACTTTTCACCGTGGGCTTGCAATCTTATGAAAAAAACTCCTGGGATTTACGAATTCTAATTTTGATATAAGATCATCAATGCTTCTTCTGTTTTTAAAATGATGTCATTGAATGGATATTTGCAGTCTGAGGTATGGTTAAAGATGAAGTGGACCAGCAAAGAAAATTGATACAGTCATGGACATGATTGTTGGCTAGTATTTATGATGTGCAGCACTTCTCTTCTGCATTAAATATTTTTGGCAGCATATCCTTCAGCAGTTAAAAGTTTATAGCTAAATCACTAATTATCTAGACTATTTCATTAGGGTACCCATACCAGTGGCTGCAATGGCCGGTGGGGTCTTTAGTATCTTTTCTAGATTGATGAGGCTAGGAGACTGAAGAATGAAGATTGAAGGAGAGAAAACAATTTGCTTTCTTATTTATATTTTACTATTGGAAGTCTTTGTCAGTGTTGTAAATAGACAAAAAATGCTATTAGATCCTCATCTCCTCATGTTCAGTAATTCTTGCATATTTGGAAAAGTAGATTAAATGCAAATTCCTAGACTCATGGGGATGTTTCTCTGTACAGATGAGCCTTTTTAATTTTTACATCTAGGCCACTTCAGATGTTGTTGTGAATTGAATCTCTGACTCTACTGGCATTGTACACAGTCTAAATGGTTTAATCAAATGACAAATTTTGCAAATTTTTGTTGATTATAAGTCACTATGTCTTCTTCACTTTTGTCATTCAGTTTGTTGCGGCTTGTAAGAAACCTCCTGTATTTTGTATAATCACCGAGTATTTGGCCGGGGGCTCATTGAGAAAATTTCTCCATCAGCAAGAGCCATATTCAGTTCCTCTCGATTTAGTTCTGAAATTAGCCCTTGACATTGCACATGGGATGCAATATCTCCATTCACAAGGGATACTTCACAGGGACCTCAAATCTGAAAATTTACTGCTTGGAGTAGATATGAGCGTCAAAGTTGCTGATTTTGGTATTTCCTGCTTGGAATCTCATTGCGGTAATGCAAAAGGATTCACAGGTACATATCGATGGATGGCTCCTGAGATGATCAAAGAAAAACATCACACAAAAAAAGTTGATGTCTATAGTTTTGGCATAGTCCTCTGGGAGCTCCTGACAGCAATGACACCATTTGACAACATGACTCCAGAACAGGCTGCATTTGCTGTCTGCCAAAAGGTAAACTCATCTGATTCATTTTGCTAGTATGAATCTAGTAATTGTAGGATGTTACTTATCTCTATTGGCATATGAATTGTACTTGACATATCCTGAAATGCAAATGCATCAGCTAGACATTTCGTTGCCTCAAGCCCTTGGCTGTTTCCAAAATCTCGAATGGATTGCTTATTAATAATGATAAGACAAATGAAAAGCTAGATCCTGAAGGGGAAGAAAAGAGTTTAAAAATGGGAATAGGAGGGAAACAACAGAGCCTTCTCTCAATAATGATGTTTCATATGATAATTAGTTTTTTTATTGATAATTAATGATTTTGCATTCTGAATTTGTCATGTATTTATTTTGGAGAATTTAATTCGAGAAGAACTTAAAAATTTGTGCCATTCCCAGAAAGCATGGCTAGAAATGTTTTTGCATTACATTTTTTTTTAGGAATAATTCCTGTGAAAATGCTCCAACTTTTGAATAAAATTAGTTTCCAGGACAAATAGGAAAGGAATATCTGCAGATGCAAGGAGTAAAATATTTATTTGAGCTTTTGATTCATGTCAAAATATACAGAAGTCTAATTATTTATCTGTCAAACAAATCGTTTCCATATTGTGAATCATTTTGCTGGCGGCAAAAGATAAGATATATATTAGGATGATAAAATGAGGAATGGGAAAAAATGGATGGAGCACCAGACCTGTAGGGATTGATTTGTGAGAATTTGATCAAATGTCTCTAAGAAGGTTCAAGAAAACTAAGAAATATTGCATTGTAGTGTTTTATGAATTGAAAGTACACATGGTTTTGTTCACACTGAAGGGGTTACAAGGCTCAGAGTAGAAGGAAACCGGGTCAACTTTCATGAAACGAGAATCAACATGGAAGTTTTTATTGACCTGCAAACTAGCGTCTTACTACACATTTAAAGAGTTCATTTGAGTTTTTTCTGCCAATTAGCTTGCTAGCACCCATGCACCGCTTCCCTTAAGAGATCTTTGAGTTTGAGCCTCTCCTTCGTAACCACAAAAGAAAAAAAATAGAAAGAAAGAAAAGAAAAGAAGAGTTCCTTTGAGTTTTGTTAAGATCTCTCAGGTAATACATCTGGATATTGAGCCCCACTCTTGCATGGGTTAATGATATGCTATAAGTATAGACTGTCAGGCAGTAAGTTCTTTTGAATATCCTTAAAAATTAGGATGTAATGAGCACAATCTGATACCAATTCAGTGCTGACTTGAGGAGAAAGAAGGCAGATATCTATTTCATCTTATGAATGGTGTTCTTGTCTTGAAGCCATTAATCTTCTGAGTGAGAATGTTAGTAGAAAACATTCTCACTCTTGTTGAAGAAAGTTCCAAACCACATTCCTTCAGCCTCATAGATCATCATGCACTGTTTAAATTCAATTGTCAATCCAAGAAAATTTTAGGATGACGATCACAGGTTAACGTAACTGGTCCCAATATTTTTTTATTTTCACATAGCTCCCAATTTTCTACTCATGCTGGCAATTGTAGACAAGATGATGGTAATGACGATATGGTAGTGGCGTAGGTCTGATATTTTAATATTATCAAGAAGGATTATGGCTTTTGTGGTAATGCTGATTTGTGATCTATAATGTGGAATATTCATGTAGCTTGGTTATTGCATTCAGTATTGTATTAATATTCATCTGTTACGTGATTGGGAGCGTACTAAGTCTTATTCTGGATGTGGTCGTCAGTTTTATCTGACGAGATGGCAAGTGTTCAGCATGGAATGTTCTCAATATCACATGTCCAAATGTGACTTACAATAGGAAACATTTAAGCTGCAAAGAAGATACACCAGTACTGCATCAATGATATGAAATTGCAACAATACAAGTGGATCAAATCATTTGCAGTTTTGTATCATATGCTAATTTTGGTCATCTAGATTCATCTACTGAGATGCATCTTCCTCACATGCTGGAGCACTGTGATTACAATCAGTCACATGTGCCCATGCCTGTGTTGTGGCCATTAAAAGTGGGGATCATGCTGTCTTTGCCATTCTTATGTGGTGTCTGTCTTCTTGAAAACTGTATTATATATCAAGCCAATTGGCATCATAGTAGCATAGACAAACGTAAAGTCTGCTTTTTTGATTTTGAAGGTACAAAACTCGAGTCTGTATATTGTATATGCATGTCGATTCATGACAATCTGTTTCCCTTACAACCCAAGTGTACATCTTATGATCATATTCTCCATCAAAGTAAATGCTTGACAGTGACATCTTTTTCTTATTTTGTGCTCTCAATCTTTCAGAGAGGAAATTTGCCTTAATCCCTATTAGGATAATTTTTTGACTTTCATTAATTTCTTGCATCTGATGTCTTCTGGGCTTTCTGCAGAATGCCAGACCACCATTACCCCCAAAATGTCCACTGGCCTTTAGTCATCTCATTAACCGATGCTGGTCCAGCAACCCAGATAAACGACCACATTTTGACCAGATTGTTGCGATTTTGGAAAGCTATTCAGAGTCCCTCGAGCAGGATGCCGAATTTTTCACATCCTACAAGCCTCCCACCAATCATACTATTTTGAGATGCTTCCCAAAACTTATAGCTGGCCGTCGGTCCACTTCTGTAAAAGCCTAGGAACTGTAACGAAATTATGTGTAATGCTATATGTATCATATGCTTTTCTTTTCTAGGGTTGTATGCTCAGTTGTGGTTAGGAGCTTATGAATGGCCTTGTCCAAAAATCACCAAGTGATTACATGAATTAATATGCCAGTATTTTTTTATGCTCTCCATAACCTTTTCTTGATCATAATTGAGGCTATATTCCAAATATGTTAAATATAAATTGTTGATGCACCTACTTATTATTCGTATAAAATCAAATGCCCACACAATCAATCTTATATGAATCACAAAATTCACAATCATGCATTGCAATAATTTCTTCAATATTTTATCAAGCAAAACCACCTTTCTCCATAATATATGTTGCATTCATATTCCGTTACCATAATATCTGCTTGTATAGTTGCAGGGATATTTAATTATTTGTATTTGATCCTTTCTTATTATATAGAATTACATAACTCTAATTATTGTATATATAATGAGAAATAATCTCCTTGTAAGGAGGATTTCAACCATTTACCATTGTTTTTCAAACATTTTTATGGTATTAGAGCCAAGGATTTTTGTTTCTATAATCCTTTTTATGGCTAGTTCATCTTATTCATCTTCTACTCTTTCATTCAATATAATGGTGCATTAGCTTATCAAGAGCTTTTTGGCTATTCGGATGGTAGCATAACAACTCCTAACATGATTATTGTCTCTAGTAGCACCACGAAGCTAAATTTTGCTTATTTAGATTTAAATGTTACGTGAATATATATGTTCCTATCAAATCCTCTCCGCTTAGACTTTTGTCTTAAGATTCAAGATAAAATTACAATAACCTCAAACCCTAATTAATAAAATTTTCAGATGATATGAGTAATTATTTTGACGATAATTGTAAAATAGGACATATATTCATTCTTATTTATAATTAATGGTCATACTTCCCTTTTGAACATTAATAATTGCAGTTCCACTTGCTCACGAGCCCTAGAACCTCCTAATTTCTCTTATAAAAGTCCCATAAAACCCTAAACCAAGGAGCCTATAAAAAAAAGGCCATCACCACATTGTCATTTCATACTTTAAGCCTTAGCTTCTAACTTTCAAAAACTTGACGCCTTACATTTTAAGAATACAAAGCTATGAGATCTTCCTCCCATAACTTTCTCCCTCTTAAAACATCATCTCCCAAACCTTATTTTCCATTGCAAATAAATAATCAAAGCCAACCATAGCTTTCTTCCTCATATATCATTTTTTTCCTTTGCTAATCTATCATGGTTCTTAGATAACTATAGAAATGAAGAGAAAGAATGTAGTAAGAAAGAAAGGAATAATAGGAGGAGAAGGAAAGGAGAAAAAGATTTGGTCTAGTGCTCATCTAGGGAAAGATATACCAAGTTGTCATTGCTATTATAGGTATAATTCTTATTTTCTCCAAAACATGACTCCTCAATATTGTTTGGTTACGTTTCTTGGTCTTTTCTTCTTTCAACACTAATTTATTTTCTCTACTTTTTGTTGTTGTTTATATCGCTAGCCTCCATTGATAAAGCCAACCATAACTTCTTTTTTTATATGCTAGTGTTTTTCTCTACCAACAACTCAAGGTCTTTTAGAATAACTAAGTCTGACCTGTAAAGTTATAGTCCACTCTATTAGGGTGAATTTGCTTTAACTGATAGATATACTAACAATTAAAAAAACATAATAGTGCCTTAGTGATAGTTAGATGAATAAACAATGCAACTTATTTCAGGTAGGGTGTACTATGGATGATATCGTTTTTTCTATATACAACTAACCTCCTTATCCAAACTCTAAAGAACAATTAGGATTCATAGTGATCAAAATACTAGGTGGTGATTTCAAACCTCTTAAACCATAAAAGGACAATAATTTCTTGTTCTTTCCACACATACTCAACAACTTATGATCTAGGAGGATGATCACCATGATGCCACATACGTGTAACAGGGTCCATCACCAATTTCTTATTTTACTAGATATATATACTATGTGATTTCTATTGATGATTGTATCAGATTTAAGGTCTGTTTGGGAACACAGTGTAAACCGCGTTCCTAAAAATTTTTCAATTTATTTTTCTTTCAAATATTTTTTTTATGTTTTCAAATTATTTTGATGTGTTGATGTCAAAAATAATTTTTTAAAAATAAAAAAACTTCATTTTGATATATTTCTAAGCGAAAAGCACTTTAAACAGCCACCGCTACCACAATCCCAAACAAGCCCTTAGTTAGGTATTCCTTTTAGAACATAAGTATAATTTATTTGATACTTTTATCAATTTACAATGTTATATAAAGATGCAATTTTTAGCAAAAATAAAATCATCTCAATTTGATGGTGGAACTGAATTTACAAATAATAAGTTTCACTCTTATTTGCACTATTATGACATTGTTCTTTGTTTGACATGTCCTAACACTTAGTCAAAATAGCATTCCTAAACACAATAATTTTCATGTTGTAAAAATTGGTCTTACCTTTTATCTCATGCTCGAATGCCACTTTCTTTATAGGTTGAGGCCTTCTCTACTATATTCTTTTTCATTAACTAACTCTCGTTACTATATCCTGATGACAAAACTCTTTATGAGCTCTTGTTTGGAAAACAACTTGGTTGCTTTATATTTCAAACTTTTAGGTGTCTTTGCTTTTCTTATTTGAGAGATTCCTCACCTTATAAATTATCTCCAAAATATGTTTAATGTTTTTTTTAGGTTACTTAACCTTCATAAAGGATTTGAATGCTTAGACCAGAAGACACATCATGTTTATGTTTCTCGACACATGCAATTTCATGAAAAAAATTTCCATATAATTGTGATTTTGTGAAAATTTTGCAACCTAACATTGACTATATTCATTTTTATGATTGTTATGAATAAGTCTTTAGTTCTTCTAATGTTGTTTTTTTTTATAAAAAAAATTATTGGCCTTTATCATCCTTTTCAAGTTCATTTTTCTTTTACAATAATAATCCATGTCTGTCCTTAAATCCTCCCTTTAATCTACAAGTTCCTTTTGTTATAGAATCTCTCTTAGATTTTGCAGCTTTAGACTTTGTTGTTTTTCCATTTGTGTCTTCAACTCTTCATATAACCACTGTTAGCCATTTAATGATTACTAGAGGAAAGAATGATGCATTTGAACTATGGTTTATCATGTTATGACTATTTTCTCTTCTTCTAAGTCTTTTCAAGCTTTTTTGTTTTCTAAAGAAGCCTTAAGGCTTTAAGCCTATTGTAAAACACCCTAAATGGTTCTTAGCTATGAATGATTAAATTTAAGCTTTGAAGGAAAATAATATATAGGTTCTTGTAACTTGTTTTAATAACCATAATGCACTTGGTTATTGTTGAATTTTCAAAACAAAGCTTTGATCTAATAGGTTTATTAAGCGATATATAACAATAATGCAGTTGGTTGTTGTTGAACTTTTAAAATAACGCTTTAATCTAATAGGTTTATTAAGCGATATAAGACATAAGGCTTAATGATTTTCTAAAGTTCATGATCTTGACTTCAATGACACATTTATCCCTATGGTGCACCTTGTTACAGTTAAAATCATTTTGTTATTGGTTATTACTTTTAGATGATATTTCCATCAGTTAGATGGTAAAACACATTTCTTCATGATTTTCTTAATAAAAAGGTATACATGAAACAACCACCTAGATAAACTGATCCATAGTTTTCTCAACATGTTTTTCATCTAAAGTGTGCTTTTTATAGATTAAAACAAACTTCTTGAGCTTTGTTTCATTATTTTATCTCTTTTCTACTTAAACTTGGCTTTCTCTCTAATTAAGTTGATTCTTCGTTGTTTATTGATCACTCCTCGCTTGAGACTGTTGAATTCTCTACAAAGGATTTGGGTGATTTTCATTATTTTCTTAGTGTTAAAGTTCAAGCTAATGAAAAGGTTTGTTTCTTAGTCAAATAAAACATGCTCTTGATTTTTTGCAATGTGTTTCCATGATTGATGTCAAGCTTATTTCTATACCTTTTGTTATTGGTTAACATCTATTAACCAAATGGAAATTATTCATCAACCTTACTCTATTTTGTTCTATCGTTAGTGCTTTACAATACTTGATTATCACCAAGCCTCATATGTCATTCAATGTAAATTCCATTTGGTAGTTCATACATGGTCCCATCGAGGATCATTTTCATGCTCTCAAGTATATTTTGCATTATGTTAAAGGCACTGCTTATCATAAACTTCAAATTTATAAACAATCTACTTGTGATCTTCTTGCTTATTTTGATGCAGACTGGGTTGAAAGTCTTGATACATATTGTTTTATTACTGGTCATTGATTAATACTTAAAAGTGTATTTTTATCAAGGTTTTGTATTATCATTTTGTACTTAAAATATCAATAACTCCTTAACTAAAGCATGTTTTATAATAACGTAACTAATAATATAAGATACCTTTAATTTGTGGTAAATATTCATTTTAAATGCAGTTCTATCACATAAATGAAAGGATTGATTGATGAATTTAAGAACTGAAATTGAAAGGACAAAGAGATGGCCAAACTTAGAAAAGAGATGT